ACACACACACACACACACACACAAACACACGCAAACCCACTCACCAACAACAAGCAGGGTAAGAACAGTGAGAAGTAAACCACCAAACAAGATAGCGGAGGCTCCCATCGCCTTTCAGATTTTCCAACTACCTCCTTGCAAAGTTCAAAGGTCTCGAGGGTGGAAAGGGTTAGTCAGTTTTGTTCTTGTAGCTGTTCCTTTCACTGTTGTCTTTAATAGCAGATCTGAAACAAAAAGGAATGGGAGATTGAGAAACAATATACACCCGCTTGTATTAGGAAAATGTACAAAGGAAAAAGTTTGATGCGTGTAAGGGTATGTGTTTAACAATCCTGTCAACACAATTAGATTTTTTAAAGTGGGCCCTCCGCATTTAACGTTCTCCTCCGAAAAGACCGAGCCAAATTGGTTGAGAGCCTTGTAAACTCCACAAAACAAACCGAGCTCAAGAACACCTATTCAGGGATTCCGACCGGGGCCATACGCTCCATAGTCCAGCATGATACCAGCTGAGCTAATGGAGCGCTCCTGAAGATATTTGAAAACAGAAAGTGATACATGACGCTTCACATGACTCCTTAGTTTTCTTTCCCGTATGCTTACAGTATGTTGAAGAGTAACACTGACGGTATCTTTTAGTTTGCAGAAAACCTGCTGTGTGATGCAAGCATGGCCTCAGAATCAGAAGCAGAATGAATCCCGGACGTAATTTCGTCCGTCCGTGATCTCAGCAAAATATAGACAAAAAGTTGTTCTGGAGCATTGCTGATTTCAATTTTAATTAGCTGAAACTGCTGGTTAGAGTCAATTTGGGGGAGCGTGCTCTATTTTTAAGGAAAATGAGCAAGGGGGGGGGGGGGCAAAAATATCTACCAGAATTGCGGGTCCTGGAAGTTTTTCGGTGGATTACTTTTGATTTTTATGCTTCATGTAATTTTTAGTGTTTTACACAAATTTCACTCCTGATACCGTTCAAGGCCCCTCAGCTACTACATTTAGGAGATTATGCCAAGTCGAAAACATATTCACACACACAAACACACACACGAACACACATGCTCACACACACACACACACACACACACACACACACACACACACACACACACATACATACACGCACACACATACATACACGCACACACATATACACGCTCACACACAAAGACTGATAAAACACTATTAAAAGTAAAAGTAAGGGTATAATGTGCCACTTACAAATATGTAGATACGAAATAAAAGAAAAGAAAGATACTTCCATGAAACAAGAAAATGAGAGGGTTTAATGTACTTCTAGAGAGAAGAAGGTGGTATACAAAGAAAAAGGGGTTGGGGTGGGTGTGAGACTGGAGTGAAGAGTTAAATGAGTTCAGGCGCGGTTCGTCCATAGAGCACGGTCGTGCAGTGCCGCCCAAAATTTTTTAACGTTCTATTACGTAAGACACCCTCAATAATAAAACTAAAGAAGCCAGAAACAAACACTAGCCAAATATTATATAAAAACAAGGTCCTCACTGTCATTTCTGTGTCTATAGCGCCATAAAACATCAACTATGCCATGCCAAAGTCCATGCACTGTAGCTAAACATAATAGGACATTCAACAGTGTAACCTGGCCTATAAATCGCTCTTGGGGATAACCCATGTGATGACCTGAAGGAGGTGAACGTGACCGTCCTATGAGTTGTGCCTTTGAATGGTTTTGTAGTGGAGTAGTGAAAGTTATTACTTGAGTGTTCAGTTCCAATACGGGTTAAACGAAATTGACGTTTAGCTAACAAACAAATTTAGTACTAGAAATTAAAGCGACAAGTAAAAAGAATGAAAATAAAAGCACGAGGTCCTCCATCACCAACCCAAATCTTAAAATTATACACCGTCTCATTTACTATGCCTTTGACTATCTTCAGCATGCGACAGCTTAATTGTGCACGTACATTTTTTAGCCCCACGAGCCGCCCCTAAATGAGTACGATCAAAACATAGTGCACATTATCACATTGTTATATTTTAGTGTGAGCCAGGTGAGTTCTAATGCCTCGTAAAAATTAAGCAGTTTTCAATCGTGAATACACAAGAGGCAACAGCCTGCAAAGAAATAAGATAAGATACGATACACTTTATTGATCTGCGAGGAAATTTTGGGTGGACTTATGAGAATATTAACACACAGATATTCAGTATCAACACAAAAAATTTACTTTTTACATTCATGTTCATGATTCACATACAACGATACGCAACTCAGTTACACAAAAGATAGTACATAACAAGATGGGCCACTCAGCCAAAAAAGTGTCCGCCGGAAGTCCGCTCTTTGCTTCAGATGGCGCTGCAGTCTGTTGTGAAGCTCTCTTTCGTTTTTCCAGAAGAAGAATAGGAATAGCACCTCATTGCTTGCGCAGATCGACTGTTGTTCATCAGCAGGGTAACTCTGTTTACAAAGGGTGCGCATTTGCGAAGAGGGCGCCACCAAATTTTGAGGACACTTTTTTAATTGGCTCAAAGAGAGGAGTGGCCCATCTTGTTATGTACTATCTTTGGTTACACATGCCTACTCAAACAGTATGTCAATGGATATAAACTCAGTCTCTTCCTCTCACACTCCCTGCCCC